CGCGCCTTAAGAGGCTTTTCCCCTGCCGTGTGGCAGGGGCCGGAGTATTTTAAAAATTAAGTCAACCTAGTAGTAACTTACACTACATTCAAATAGGACGCTGATCTCAATAAATGTTCAGGCTCAAATATGCTGCTAAGCTTCTACATGGATCCCAGGCATCTCCCTCTAGTGATTCCTAGCTAAGTGTAATTAAAGGGACCTTGCAAATTGCTAACAGGTGAAACATCACATAGTAGTTTACAAAAAATCACATAGTAGTTTACATAGTCTTTTGTAAACTACTATGTGATTTTTGTAAACTACTATGTGATGTTTCTTTAATTGTACTACCTCTTATCACCTGTTAGCAATTTGCAAGGCCCAGGATTCATTTAGAAGTTTAGCAGTATATTTGAGAAGACATTGATTATGTACCTATGCACAAGGATTTTCTTATGATTTATTAATGATGTTATAGTGCTTTAGATTATAATATATAGGAAGCTTTTTCTTTGCAAGTCTTGCTGACTGCTTGATTTGTGGGTCAGACTCTCACGACTGTTGTCTTTATACTTATCTTCTGATTGTGTCGTGTTTGTTCATATTTGTCTTGAAAGATAGCTGCAAAGCAGAGAAGTCAGAGCAGGTCTTTAAAAAAATAATAGAGGAAGTGTTAATGTGAGTAAATCAGTTCAGAGGTGAATGCCAAAAAGGAGGTTAAGAAGAGTAAGGGACATTGAGTAACATTTAAAAAATGCCAAGGAGAAGTGTGAAAATAAAAATCAAAAGAAAGAAAGAAAGCCAACAATCAAGATCCCGACATTAGCTTGAAGAGAGTCCATGGAGCATCAATGGCATCTGGGAAGTATACCGTCCACCTTTTTCTTTGCATCTTCTCACTGCATTCCAGATGGTTTCAGACAGGTACCAACCAGGCAGTAGCAATGGGGAGATATCCCAAGCAGGTCTACTTAAGAGTAAGTCTCAATGTATTCAGTGGAGCTTACTCCAAGGGAAATGAGCCTGGGCCTGCAGCTTCAGACATTTGTCTAGTAGGTGCTTTGGCTGGCTTTAATAAAATGGCGGGAAATTTCATCCTTAAACCACTTCTCCACCAACTTAATTGTTAGAAGATAGTTCAAAATTAAACACTACATTAACCAATATGACAGAATTTTTTATTATATAGTCACTTTTATATATTCCTTTCATGACAGGCACATTTAAGGAACTAAATTCTGGTAAAGTCTGAAGTGGCTATGGTTTCCACTCTGAACCGAAACTGGAGCAGGGGGAAATATGCATTTGCCTGCCACAGATCTTTTCATGAAGTTATACCAGCAATAACTACAAGGCCTTGTAGGGAGATCTCATTTTCCCCTCCCCACTATTTTCTCTTCCCCTTCCCCAAAAGCCCCTATAGCCTCTCCCCTTTTCCTGCTTCCTTTTCACTTTCCACTACCAGCCACCCTACCTTTATCTGACCATCTTTCTTCAGTTTTCACTCTTTCTCTTCCTCCGGCAACCCCTCTGTGGGAAGTTGCATGGTGCTAGGTGCTGATCTGTAGCCAGTTCCATCATGGCAGCCACCAGACCAAGCCCAATTGCAGAGTGCTGGCTGCCAGACAGGGCCCAGCAGCACAGTGGGGAACCCACAAGGATTTGCAGAAGGCATCTCAGTTTGCCCGATATCCCCGCCACTGCATTATTTCCTCTCTTCTTCCTCTTCCTGGCAGTCCCTGTATCTTCACCTTTCCCTGCTTCCATTTTTCCTTCCCCCCTACCAACCAACCTACTTTTCAGCTGCCCACCCATCTTTAGCAATATTTATTATTTCTTTATTTCTTTTATAACCTGCCTTTTTCCACAATGTTGTAGACCCAAAGCAGCTTACATCGATCTCTTCCCCTCTATTTCCTCATACCAACCCTGTAAAGTAGGTTAGACTGAGAGTGTGTGACTGGGAAACAGAGCTACATCATAACAGATTGGTCCAGAAATTGTTTTTCAACTTACATAATACCATGTTCTGCATTATGCTTGTTCAGATGACAGCTCCATTTCAAATTTATGCAGTCCTAGTCCTATTCTGTTGCTTATTAAATGCAGCATCCTGTTGTTTGCATTGATTTATATACTGTGTAATATGCCTTGAGACTCAAATGAGAAAGACAGACTACATATAACATAATATAATGTAACAACTCTCTTCCAGAACATATAGGAAGATGAAGCATGGAACCTAATATCATTTACCAACAGGTAATAATTTTTTAAAAATTAGAATTCAATTTTTAAGAGGTTTACAGTGCAGTCCTATGTAGTATAGCACAGTGTTACACCCTTCTGCATCAGTGGACTTCAATGGATTTTGAAACAAGCAAGTAACTCTGTTTAAAACATATGCATCCACATGAAATTGAGAATGCTATTTATCTTTCAAGCTTTTTAAAAAACTTTATATTGGAGGAAGGTGATTAAGGCTTGCAAAAACAACTCTCACATGATTTAGAACTTCCCAACGATTTGAGAAGTTGTGTTTTCATAAAATTAAACCAAAATCACAAGATTGCAGTGAGATTTTAAATTTTCAACAACTGGTAGAATTTTCCCTCAGAAATCACTGACATAAAATATCTCTTTCTCTCTCTCTCTCTCTCTCCCCGTCTCTCTCTCAACAAGTGAAATACAATTACAAATAATAATAATGGTAGGAAAAACTCAAATGTTTCCAATTATAAGATAAGGATGCTCTTAGCTGCATTTGTCCCACAGAATGAGAGTCACAGAAAAGATGAAATTACATCTTTATTGGACCAATTAGTTCTTTAAATGCACTCCTCAAACTAGGCTGCAAGGTTTTGTTTACAAGACATTGCACAGCAACTTCAGGTCTGCTATACAGAGACTACTACAGCTGTTTACCTAGGCAGGCATCCCTGAGTATTCTGTACACACACTTTTCCTCATCATTCATTTGTACTGTATCCTGAGCTCCAGACACACCTATGATCATTAACCCAGTGTTAATTATCATGATATTGTTTACATGATAATTTATCTTGAGATGAAAGATTCAGATCATAAAAGGTCCAATTAACCTGGGGCTCTTTTCTTTTCTCTGAATGTTCATCATCCACCATCATTAACCCCTTGAAAGCATAAACAAGTCACAGACCAAAGCAAGCGTGGTTTTTGTGTGTGTTTATTAATCAAACCATGTATATGCAGGCCTTGGAAATTATGTAAATAGTATATGGTTTGTTTATGAAGTAAACTTGATGGAACAATTTGACTGCATTTATTTACAAATTAGACAACATACCTCTAGTCATTTTCTTTCACTATACTGGACCCCCTACTAAGTTTTGGAGAGCAAAAATCAGAAGTTAAAAATCAAAAACTGACAAATGATGTTCCAGTGACTTCTCTTGTACACTTGTAATTCACCAACTCTTTAATTCTTTTTTTGCCTCCAGAATGCTCTTCTCCATCAACTATGAAGCTCACTGGATAACTGTGAACACTATGCCATCATGAGTTTCTTGTAGGAAGGACAAAGGTAAAATGTGCTAAGATTCCCTTAAGATAGACCAGTTCAACTCTAAACCATGAAATGGTCTACAGTTGTGTCATAGCCTTCTGGAACATTGGCTAGTATCAAAGAAAAACAGGTTGCGTACTGTAACTGATGATCTTCAAGTGGTCATCTGTGCATTCACACCCATGGGATCTAGTGCGCATACGCTGGATCGATTGGCATTGTAGCAAGCTCTTTTAACGGATTTTTGCGCCCAGACCTCGGGCATGTGCAGGAACCCCACTGCGCATGCCCAGAGGGGAGGGCTCGGACATCCCGCCAGTACCTTCGAACCGCCGCAAATCAACCCCTATTGAATATGTAGAAGCTGACAGCAGCGGGGAAGGAGGGCGGGTGGTGTGAATGCACAGATGACCACTCGAAGATCACCAGTTACAGGTAAGCAACCTGTTTATCTTCGACATGGTCTCTGTGCTTCACACCCATGGGAGATTAGCAAGCAGTGGCCTACTTGGAGGAGGGTGCTGGCAGGTCTTTACTGTGTCGCCGAATATAGAATGTGACGTCCCATGTTGGTATTAGAGTTCTTACGGACATCCAGGGCATAATGCCTCATGAAGGTGTTAGGCGTGGCCCAGGTAGCAGCCTTGCAGATGTCCCTTCTGGAGGAAGGCAGTGGAAGCAGCAACAGTCCGGGTTGAATGGGTCTTGATGTGGCCAGGCAACGGCTGCTTTGCAATCAAGTAGCAGAGGTGGATGAGACCCGCAATCCACTTTGAGAGGCGTTGAGCCGTGATGCGAGTCCCCAGCCTCGCTGGTGCGTATGAGACGAACAGTTGGGAGTCACGTCTCGTTGGGCGGGTTCTGTTGAGGTAGAACAGTAGTGCCCTTTTGACATCCAAAGTATGTAACAGTCTGTCCTCTGCGGATTTTGGAGCTGGGAAGAAATTCGGGAGGAAGACCTCTGCCTGTAGGTGGAACTCTGACACTACCTTTGGCAGGAACGAGATGTCAGGGACGAGGTGGACGCCGTCTGGCAAGAATGACAAATAAGGCATGTCATGCCGGAAAGCCAGTATTTCTCCAACTCGCCTTGCAGAGGTGATGGCCACTAGAAAGGCCGTCTTCCAAGACAGGAATTTCATATCGCAAGTTGCGAGTGGCTCAAAGGGTTTCCTCGTAAGTTGACGAAGGACTAGAGGAAGATCCCAGGGAACGACAGGAGTCTTGACAGGAGGGTAGAGGTGTAACAAACCTTTTAAAAAACGTTTCGAAAGCGGATGTGAAAACATGGTGCATCTGTCGAGGTGAACATGGTAGGCTGAAATTGCGGCCAATAAACTTTTAACGATGAAAGGGAAAGTCCCGAGTCAGCTAGGACAGGAGGAATTGGAAAACTTTCTCGAGGCCTGTGGAGGAGGCTCAAGGGGCATCATCACCTAGGGAAGAACATCGTTGCCATTTATAGTGGCAGGACCTTCGCGTAGCAGGTTTCTTGGCGTTCAGTAGAACATTGATTACGCGGGTCGAAAAACCTTTGACGTTATTCTCCACGCCATCAATTTCAAGCGTGGTACGTCGTGATGTAGGAGAGGGGAGTCTGACAGGAAGAGGAGATCTTGTACCAGAGGGAATTGGTGGTACATTCCCCTTGACAACTCGAGGACTGTTGAGAACCATGGTTGCCTCGGCCACCACGGTGTTATCAACATGCAGTCCTGCTCCGTCTCGGATGATCTTGCATACCACTCTCAAAACTGGGGTAAAGGAGGGAAAAGGTACAGAAGACCTGAGTGGGCGATGCAAAAGTCCCATAACTGAATGGCGAGGTTGCAGAGACATAGGGAGACCGTGCCTCCCTGTTTGTTTATATAACTGAGTGCGGTGGTATTGTCCGTGAGGACCGTAATACATTTCCCTTTGATTATTGGTAGGAAACTCGTGACCGCGAACTGAATTGCGAGCAGTTCCAGAAAGTTTATGTGTCGACCTTGCTCGTGGGTGTTCCACTTGCCCCCGACACACAGACCCATCATGTGTGCACCCCATCCCGACAGGGAAGGATCCATAGTCAGGGTGATTTGGGGTGATGGAGGGTGGAAGGGTGCTCCCTGGAAGATATTGAAAGGGACAGTCCACCAAAGTAACGAGTCTCGTATGTTGGGAGGGGGGGATAGGACGATAGTGTGAGCGTTGTTCACTGGGTTGTAATTCTGGATGAACCACAGTTGTAAACGACACATTTTCAGTTTGGCAAAGACGAGAACCGACATAGTTGCAGCCATAAGGCCAAGTAGCCTTTGGATTTGGAAGGCAGTGACAGAAGGGTGGGTACGGATGACGGTGGCTAAGGAAATTATGTCTGCCGCTCTGTCTTGATGCAGTTAAGCCATGCATGTCGTGGAGTCAAGTATAGCTCCGATGTACTTTATTCTTTGGACTGGACTCAATTAAGACTTTTCTCGATTGACTTGTAGGCCCAGATCTTTTAGTAGTGCCAGTGTCTCAGTGAAGTTTGAGACCAGGGTGTTCTGGGAAGGCACTACCAAAAGCCAATCGTCGATATAGGGGTAAATAGAGATACCCCGGAGACGAAGGAAAGCCACAACCACAATCATAGTCTTTGTGAAGACTCTTGGGGCGCTGGACAGGCCGAATGGCAGGGCTGCATACTGGTAATGCTGCTGACCAATCGCGAAGCGTAGGTATTGGCGGTGGGAGGGTGGCCATCCAGACGTGTTTCTGTAGGAGTGGCATAATCTGCTGTAAGGACACCATGCGGAAGCGATGGTAGGTTACAAAACAGTTCAGTGCCTTTAGATCTAAAATGGGTCAAACGCCTCCATCTCTCTTCAGGACTGTGAAGTATCGAGAATAAAATCCCTTCCCGTGGAGGTGTGGTGGTACCTGTTCGATGGCTCCCTTCTGCAGAAGGACAGACACCTCTTCCAGGAGAGGTGGGGAAGGGGGTGTGGAGATGACAACAGGAGTAATGGGGTTCTGGTGGAATTGGATACGGTAGCCTCGGGTCAAGAATGACAGCACCCAGTCGTCCGAGGTGATGTGACGCCAAGTATGAAGCAAGGGTGATAGACGGGTTTGAACTGACTTGGTGACAGGGAAGTCAAAAACTCTGCTTGGAGGGTTTGACCTGTTTGGTACGGGAAGATTGTTGCCTGGATCCAAACCTCGGAAGCTGCCTTATACCGAGTTACACCATTGGTCTACCAAGGTCAATATTATCTAATCATGAGTGGCAGCAACTCTCCAAAGGTCCTTCAAATTACCAGCAACTGAACTTGGGCTTTCTGCATGCAAATCCGATGTTCTACCTCTCAGCCATGGCCCCTCTACTGGGCAATCTGCTTTTATGTACTGTCAAGATGGGGACCCATAAGGAATTCTGTGGTTTCAAACACCAAATCTCCTTTTGGTACTCAGTGGGAAGGAAAACACACCACATTCCTTTTTATTTCACTCATCTAATTGTGACTGGCTAGCTTGGAGATCTGCACTGTTCTTTAGGTAGCAGAGATCAGTTCCTCTGGAGAAAATAGTGGGCTCAGTGTCATTATACCCTGCTAAGGTAGCCACAGCAAATTGACACTGAGTGTCCAAGGCCGGGGCACCCGCCCAGAGCCTCTTTCTAGAGCTCATTGTATTTATTTCCACAACGGGCCTTTTTCCTAGTTATCCTATAAACAGCAATGCTCTTATCACTGAAAACTTGGTATCACACCTGAATGATTTACTATGTCAAAGACATGTTTAGAAGTTTACTTAGAATTATTCTTCAATCATTAATCTACTGCACGTCATGAAATTGTTTGTAAAAGCTTACTGCATTCCCCCCAATTTCGCTTTGTACCATATAAAATAACTTCTCTATTCTCCTTGTTTACATTACTCATATATTTACAGACAACTTATTGTACTCCTTTTAATAGCTAATTTATCAAATTACACAGTTCAGTGAATGTCTAATCTGTCTTCAGTAGTCAATTCCAGCAGCTTTTCAATCATTCTGTTGTTCTACTCTCTAAACTTTTTTCAGTTATTTGATGATGTAAAAATAAACAGAACTCTTGTAGCACCAAAACAACTAGCAACACTTTTCTACTACTACTTTCTAATACTCCTTTTCTTCCATTCTAACATAGAAGCCAAAAAACCAACCATCATGATTACAACCCAAGGATGCACTCTACTAAAATATTGCTACTACTGGAGCTCTGTATATGTATGGACAATGTACAGCAGCAGTTTGGGTGGGCTGCACCTCAAAGTTACTTTCTTTTCTGAATCCTAGAACTCCAATTTGCACACAAAGTTCCCTCATCTAGAAAAGCATTTTCATTCATTTCAAAAGAAAAAGCTGGTCTCAATGTACATTCCATTGTCTATATGGTTTTACTTCCTCCACCAAATTTCACAGGGTAACCTGTGCAAAATCTTGTACATGCACTTTAGTACCTAAGAAGTTCTGGACTGTGGCATTCTATTTTACCACCAACCAACAGTATGAAGTATAAAAATAAGATCACAGAATTGTGTGACTGGAAAAGAGGTTTCCATGAAGGACCATGCAGCAGTTCAATTAGCAAATGACCCAGACTTTATGCGTTGTGGATATGTAAAAATCCCAGCATCCAAAAAGAGAACTATTAAAATACTGACATTTTTTAAGACTGCTCTTAATAGGATAGAATAGAGTTAAAATTAAAGTGCAAAATATTATAATAATATATTATGGTAGTAATAATAATGGTCAGCCATTGATAGTAATACAGAAGGAAACATAAAAAATAGCTTGCAGCCCTGCTTGTCACAGGCAATATAACATCATTGTACTATACAGTAATAGAAATTCTTTTGAAAATAATTAGATTTCCAAGATGGACATTTTTATAGAAGTGACATTGCTATTAAAATGAGTGTAAAACTCTACAGACCGCGATATTACAAAATGTCACCATGCATTATAATAATATTTTGGTACCACTGCGAAGATTGTATGTTGGAGGATATAGGACTGGGGGAGGAGAAGGCTACCAGAAGGATGCAAAGTTACAGAATTAGGAACCTAGAGGTTCACGTGAGCTCCAGAAATTCATATTTATATCCTACTATTTCCTTGACAATTATATGATGTTTCTCCTTATTCCTTTATCCTTGACAATTATATGATGTTTCTCCTTATTCCTTTATCGTTAATGCCACACTAATCATTAATATAAGTTTAGTATTTTCTCTTACATAACGTATGAATCCTTTGCTAAAGTAAAATGTACATCAATATTTACAGATTACTATCACTATAAATGGCACAAAAATTCTGATAATGTCACTAGCTTAATACCTAATTACTGAATAATTATTTAGGACAAGGCTCTTGGAATATTTCGTTTAAAGTACCTATGTGAGTGTTTGCTTGATGTCCCAGCAAAAGAAACACTCGAAACAGGATTTACTCTCATCATCAATATCCAGACTTTGGTGGAAAAAATTGTAAAAGGCTATTCTGTTGCCAGAGTTTATCCTCAGATGTCCGTCCAGTTTCTGCTGGCATGCAATATGGGATTTTAGGGTGCAGCTCAAGATATGTTTGACTTCCCCAGGAATGCTACAGTGGATAAATGAACAAAAAGCCTCCATAGAAGTGTGTATTTTGCCTCTTTTGAGCCAAAAGGTTTCCAATGTTTGGATCAGGTAACATAAGCACAAACTGTCTGCCCACCTTTCTCTTACTACTAAGAGGACCCTAGCTCCTCCATATGCTTAAACGTGCAGTAACACATACACATAATTTAGGAGCTCATTCATTTAAGGGTTTTTTCACCACATGACAGAGTATATGCCTGCTAAAATGTCACCAAGCTGGATCAAGAAAAATCAAATAACTACCTGCAGTGACAAGGAATGTAATTAATGGCCAACTTCAGTATGCTCCATATTGCTCTTTTTAATCTGATACACACAGAAATCAGATGGAAAGGCCCTGAAATACCTTTGAACAACCCAGATTATACACAATATGCAGGCAACCAAAAACCAATCATCTCTGCACATGATAAACAGCAGTGACCAAAAAGGTAGTATAAGTGATAGAAATAAAGAGCCTGCTGCTTCTAAGTAGCCATCAAGGGAAGGGTCTTCCTAGACTGCCCATCATGAGAGCCCAGAAACAACAGAGGAGGCAGGAGGTGCCTGAAGTCAGCACTATGCAGGTGTACAGCTGCTGACTGGCTAGGAATGTCCCGTTTAGGCAAGAGACAGACAAGGTTCAAGACTACAAGGAATGATAAGGGACTTTAAAGACAGTTACTGAAACTCTACAAGGACAGAAAAGAAAACTAGGATCCTGTTTGGAGGATTACAGAGTGTGGCAGGCATTTGTTTTAATGTTTAATGCCAAAAAGAAGACAATTTCAGAAAAGTGTGAGAATGTCCATCCAATCCTTTTGAAATGCATTACAAAGGGGAAGTTGGTGCACATATATTTGGGGGGAAGCATGTGGCATTTACACTGAAAAATATATCTCTCAGACACCATAAAAGCAATATGCAAACATTGTATTTTATGGTGGAGGTATATGCAAAAAAAAAAAAAAAAAAACCACAGAAGTAGAAACAGAGTTTCCAATTTCCATCTTTCCTTCTTATAGCACACTAGGTGGCCA